CGGAGCGAACAAAAAAAAATCATAAACCCTCATTTCTACCGATTGACATCCAAGTTATTGAAAGGTAAATATATTGAAATATTGGCTTTCATTGCGGTGCGGTTTTATATCTTGACTTGTGGCTGCGACGAATGCCCTCAGTAACACCTCCTTTAAGGTGACCTGGCGAGTACGTAGGAGAAAAGATCACTGAAAAAATACCAGGGTAACAGGTGTGTATGACGATTTCGAAGGCGCATTTCGCAAAGCGTTGCGAAATATTCTACATGTAGAATTAATTCTCAATAGTCGTGGTAAAGTAACTTTAATTAAAACGTATTTTATTTTGAACTGATGTAAACGAATATTGTTAGTTCAATCGTTGCCGAAGAATAATCCACTTATCTAAATCGCGCGTAAAGCAGTGCATGCATTTCTTTCAGCAATAGGGAGCGGTGCGATGACAAAGGAATACACAAGAGGAACGCTACTGGCGAGGTTCGTACAAATAATTATTCACTGTTCACTTCCTCTCTAAAGTGCTAAGAACTTGTGCCTTGCAGCTGCGTTAAATTATAATGTTTTAGGTATTGTTTTGTATTTGGTCATATGTATTCTCGTGCCTTGTGCACCCCTGTAACAACCCTAACGGGTTAACAGTATACCTAAATAAAAATAAATAAATAAATAAATAAAAAAATAAAAAAGCAAAAATGAAAAAAACTTAAAACATATTTGTATGTTCCTTTGACTTTTTTCGAGGTTAGCACTTACCTAGGTAAGAAGTGTGACTTTGATATCTTTGCATATAGGCTCAGGTGCGGACATCAGTATTAATTGAAACCATTGATTCAAATAGGTTCAAATCATGTCACTTCCGGTAAATACACACCCAACAATTGGATGGCAAACTATGACAGTATTTTATGCACTATCGCATGGGTGAGACGGCGACTAAGAATAATACAGGGTCTTTGTAATCGGCAACTTACAATAAACCTTGAATTGAAGCCCCCATTAAAAAGAAGACGTGTGAACCCATCGTGTGAACCCATATTTGGTTTTGTATTTGGTCATATGTATTCTCGTGCCTTGTGCACCCCTGTAACAACCCTAACGGGTTAACAGTATACCTAAATAAAAATAAATAAATAAATAAATAAAAAAATAAAAAAGCAAAAATGAAAAAAACTTAAAACATATTTGTATGTTCCTTTGACTTTTTTCGAGGTTAGCACTTACCTAGGTAAGAAGTGTGACTTTGATATCTTTGCATATAGGCTCAGGTGCGGACATCAGTATTAATTGAAACCATTGATTCAAATAGGTTCAAATCATGTCACTTCCGGTAAATACACACCCAACAATTGGATGGCAAACTATGACAGTATTTTATGCACTATCGCATGGGTGAGACGGCGACTAAGAATAATACAGGGTCTTTGTAATCGGCAACTTACAATAAACCTTGAATTGAAGCCCCCATTAAAAAGAAGACGTGTGAACCCATCAACTCATGTTCTATGTACCATATGAAAGAAAACCGCATAAGATATTTTACGCATTTTTCTCATTAGAAGACGCACAGGTCAATTTGACGCAATTGTAGCACAATTGGCCGGCTCAAGCTTGAGCCAGGCTGGGCAACCGGGAAACGTTCTCCGGGCCTCGCACCGATTTGCACCGTAAGAAGACAAGCCCGCATCAGCATAGCATGCAGGTCTTGCCGTCCGCGGGGGCTACCAGTCTAGCCACGCTTGGCTCATCAGCACAAAGTCAGCACGGGCTAGGGTGGGACTTCCCCGCCATGATAAAACTTCACTCTGCGGCGTAAATGCAGCATAATTAAATAGATGTGGCACACATAAACCGAAACAATGTTGTGTTATTTTTATGTATATATGGTCAGAGAGATTGTTTTAAACTACCTGAAATTTTAAAGATCGCAGACAAAACCGCCTAATTTTCAGATTGCTATATGCCTCCAAGCTTTGTACGACATTATCGGATATAGTTTGTATCGGTATTTCTAGCTTTTATTTTTACAGTAGAACATTTGAAAGGAAAGAGAAATCGTATGAGTCTACGGTATCTTGCACGTTTAAAGCAAAAAAAAAATCATTTTTTTCTAACACCCGATAACAAAGAATCCGTCGAGACACCTACCAAGCCTTCATGCTGGGACCGGCCCTGTCGGCTGTACTGGGTGGCCTGTGCAGCTTCTGGGGAGAATCTGTTGGGACCATTCTCAAGACCCTGACTGCAACGTAAGCCCTTCTCCCTCCCCCCTCCCTCCTCTCTCCCCCCTCCCCGAAAGAAAAGAAAGAAACGAAAAAAGAGAAAATTTTAGCCGCGAATTTTTGGAATTTATAAATATTTGGTACCCTGCGGTTGCGGATTAGGTAATTTCCATTTAGGGGTATTTTATTTTGAAGTTTTTATCCAACGCTTTACAGAACATTATTGTCACTGTTTGGTTTATATATATATATATATATATATGTATGTATACAACACGGGCACTTCACACCACCGTACGCGGTCTCCGAGGAGGATATAAACGAATATGTGCAGATGAATGAACCGCACTTAATCCAATGAATCAAAGAATCAAAGTTTTCAGGAACCCGCCGAAAGCCAAAAAACGGCGGAGCCAGGATATGAACTCTGGGCATCCCAATGTCCGGTTGGGTGTGTGTAGAGGTTAGCACACCCAACCGGACATTGGGAGGTTGGGTGTGCTAACCTCCCAACCTCCCAATGTCAAGTTGGCAAGTTTATATATATATATATATATATATATATATATATATATATATATATATATACGTGTGTGTGTGTGTGTGTGTGTGTGTGTGTGTGTGTGTGTGTGTGTGTGTGTGTGTGTGTGTGTTTATTGAAGCTAATTTTGAAAAAAATTAGACCCGGGAATAAAACTCCCCCAACTCCAGGGAAAACGTGCGTAGCCCGTATACTCGGAACATGTCCCGGTACCGACACCCCAAAGACAGGAGACAATAAGATTAGAATTCCCACCGAAGAAAGCAGCGGCTACTTTGTGGGCTGCAAACCAAGGGCTGTGGTCTGGTTCGGCAAAAAAAAAGCTGTAAAGGAATAGACTTTCCTGTGAAGTGTTGATATTCTTTTAATTACTGCACATCTGCGCTTCAGGGTTTTTTGGTTTTCTTTAATTTTTATAAAACCTACGCGAAGGTTACTTCTAGGTACGTATCCATATACACCACAAACACGGAACCTTAATTATCACTTACGAAATTCATTGAGTTTTGCATAGGCATATACAAAACAAAAATCAAGGAAAAATTATTTTCGCGAAAAAAACAATTTCTGCGTGAGTAAGCCCAACTTAAAAGGCACTGCCATGCAACCCTTAAAACCAGCAACAGCCAGTGACAAAAAAAAAAAAGAGTTCGCATTTAGCGCGGAGGTTTCGACTCAGCGAAGGACGGGAATTCCAACCTCGCACTGGTCCGCATACTGTTGTCTTCGAAGAGTCGGTTTGTTCTCCCGAAAGTTGGCGGTTTTGGAAGCAGCCAGCGCAGCTTACCTCAATCTCCGCCGGCGTTCCGCATACTGTTGTCTTTGAAGAGCCAGTCTTTCCTCTCAGGTGTCGGCGGTTTCGCGCAAACAACGTCGTCTCTGCACCTCAGTTTTACGTTGCCGCTTACGTACTACGTTGTGCCACCGCCACGGCCGCTCGATCACCTCCCCTCCCGCTTCCGCGGTGCGTTATTGGAAGCGCGCCAGAATAGTATCTTCCCCTTGTAAGAGGTAAAGTGGACGTATGGAGCCATCGAAGAGAGAGAAAGAGCACGACGGGAACCGCGCCGCGGCCTCAAAAATCCGGTCCAGTTCGATGAAACCAACGCTACACAAACGAAAGACAGCTACATGCGCCAGGGCAATAAATTCTAACGGATTTAAAAATATAAATGCTCAAATGCTACGCATCACTTTCCCCCGCCCCCTCAACGGGTTCTCTCAATCACGCGGTTAAGAAGGCTACCTTCTAAACTTCAATAATTAGAGGCACAAAATGTAAATATATTATGATCATGAAAGAAAATGCTGACACAAACCCTCCAACGACACCTATATTTCCAACGTCATGAAGGTTATTCCTTGCTGAGTGAACGTTAAAATGTTGTGCTTTCATTTAAACAAAAGTGTTTGGTCTGTTAATTGGTAGTTGGAAAGGCGTTACAAAGGTCGATAGTTTGCAGTTGTATATTATCTAGAGAAAAAAACCTAAAAAAAACCCCAAAGCCTTGACCTTGAATACTTATATTTTTAATTGGTCGGCAACCTCATGCTCACATTGGCAGCGGTTGTTCGCAATCATATTTGCGCACTGCTTGAAGACGAACCGTTGAGGGAATTTGAGTGTTGAATTGATTCAACGAACGACAGATTGATAGCATCATTTTCCCGAAACTCGCTTGGTAATCAACCATACTAAGAAAAAAAAAAGTTGGCTGAATATAACAACCCACGAAAAGAAATTGAAAAAAAAAAATAATATTCGAGGCAATTTCCCCGATGCTACCAGAACACTTTCGCATGATATTGTACATACAGGCAAGAATTGTCGCCGCACTCATTTGCTGTATATCATCACGTTTTATGGTGAATAGAATCACATGTGTTTCATATGAGAGCATAAGCGTCGATCACCTCTACAGCTGAATAATTTTATGTTCAATGGAATATTGCCACCTTTCGCAACTTATAGGGGCCGCCCTGTCGTCTATCGAGATGTCTGTCATCAGGATTATCGACGTTAAACCTCAATAGGAAATTAAATGTTTAACGCGTCAATAATTATAATGTAGTTAATACGAACGTTTTTATGGTCTTAGCTAACTTTCTATATCAGAAAATTTGCAAGCAAGTGCCTTAATTGCACATACTCGGCGATAATGGTACCGCGGTCCCGCAATCGCTGATTGTTGTGAATATGCCACCGAGCCTTTCCCGTCTCGCGGTGGATGCAGGGAGGAATTTCCTCGTGGGGAATTCTCGGCCTTTTCTTGGATTCTTCTTACGTTACCGGGATCTCTAATGGCCATGGCCTATGTCGACACCTACATCTACTGGTCCTTCGTCTCTCCCCAGTGAGTGTAACATATATTAGTCGCTCGTGAATTGTTTACAACCGTACGTTCTCAACGCGGCTGACGGCATGCGCACTAATCATGATTTAAAGTGTCAACAGGTCTACAGCTTTAGTCACTATCTCAAAATAGGTCTCGAACATATCATTACTACTCGTAGATAAAGAGGAGGGCGGTCTTATTTTCGCAACAAACTATTTGAGTAAAGCTTTCTCTCTTTTTTTGTCCTTTACAAATCGCAAGAAACGATAATTGATTTGTTATTGCATCGGCAAGAGACTAGTGTAGGTAATCAAGAACAGCGACGACTTTGCAGTGACGCGGTTATCATACGGAACGGTGTACATATCTCGATGGTGTTAAATTGTTTTCCCGTTTCCTCACCGATTCAGCTTTGCTTTTAATTAACGAGTGGTCTCGGCTCATTGTGCCTTTTGAAAGTTGGTGTTGTGCTTTCACTGGGGTCTGTTCGACCGATCTGTTCCTTTTATTGAGTGCATTACGCAGCGCCAGAGGGGCAAAGCGAAAATCAAATGGTAGAGAGTTTTAGGGAACCGTTTTTGCGCATCCGATACGGTACAATGGGCTTTCCGGTACGAACTGCGCATGCGCTGCCACGGAAGGCTCGCACATGCGCACTTCGTACCGGAGGGTCCATCGTACCGTATCGGGTGTGAAAAAACGGTTCCCTTGATCCTTCTAGTGTTATACTCCTTTTAACGCTAAGTTCGAGCGCAGAGGGCGCTGCGGTCCGATGGGGCCAATCAAACAGCGCCAAAAGTGCATCGTCACGGCGCCTTCGCTGTGTGTGATTCGTTTAACCGATGACAGCACAAACGCAAAAAGCCGAAGGCAATAAGTTACGTGATCAAACGGCCCTAACGTGGTCACGTGCTCTACCAAAGTTATGGGTAGAGCATGCCAAACGTCACAGGCGTGACGCTCGACCATTGTCGATTCTTTTGATAAAAATTACAGGGGTTTCTTGTGTGTTGAATAGTCATTTGCATAAATAATTTCGTCCATAAAATATTTTTGGCCGCGCTAGCGCTGTTTGAAATTCCCGAAGAGGCGCGAAACTAGGAACAAGTAAAAAAAAATGGCAAAAGTATAGATCTTTAGCTACCAACGCGCGATGTTTTCTATCCAATTCTACTTGCATTATTGCTTCACATGAAGCGGATTTTAAATATTATAGTCTTTTTTTTGTTCGTTTTTAATTAAAGACAAACTACTGAAATTGTGACGTTTTCGAGATTTTTTTCTTTAAATTTGGGAGTCTGTATACCCGTGCTAGGAGTGTTGTTCGCATCTATTGTAGATATACTTTTTGTATGAAACAGCATCCTACCGTTAAAAAAAAAGGTTTTTCTGATATCAAAGCTTAAACCTGCGCCAAACGGCATTTTGGTTGAAAATAAGCTGCAAATGTCGCAGCGAGGTGGTCCAATTAAAACTATGCCAGACCACTTAAGCGATAGAGCGCCATATGAACTTGTGATTTATAAAATTTAAACGAAGTAATATTTTTTTTAAGCGAGAAAATATTTTTTTTAAGTCGAGCTCCCGCGACACCGGCGGAGTGATTCCATGCAGCAGCTTTTCGGCACAGCACGGCGACGATGGAGCTTGTTTGAGCTGTGGCGCATTCTCTGGTGCTAGCCAGAGCCGTATATGGGGAGTTTGGTCAGTCAATGATCTCGCCGCCGTAACACTCTTCTCCCAATTGAGCCGATCAGCACGCGGCGTAGGGCGAGAGGCATGAGCGCATGCGCGTGAACTCCCAGCTGCTCCCACCTGAGTGGGGACGGCCGCCATCTTCGATCATTCTCCCGGCGGAATGCGTGGGATCGGCAACTAAATCTCGATTATTGCCTTTTATATCGCTGGCTCTGGCGAGAAAATGACATTCCGTTATTCCTCGGTAGGTTAAAAAGCTAATAAATGAAGATTTTTCGGCGATTGGCCACAATCTTTTATTCAGGCGAAAAAGAAGTCGGCCCGTATATAGCAGACGACGCGTAGCCTCAGCAGTGCTCTTCTCCGACCAGTCTCTGACAGCGTTGCTAAAAAATGGTGGTCGTCTCCTCTCTGCACCCTTCTTTCTTTCTCGCTCCTTCGGCACTCTCCTCCCTTTCATTTACTTTTCTCCTCTCCGGCGCCTTCGTCGCCACACCCACTGGCCAAACTCTCCCAAGATACGGCTCTTGTGCTAGCTATCGCCAAGGGCCATCTATGTGCTTGTAATTGAACTATTCGTCTTGTTTAGCTAACGCCCTCTATTTTATGCGACAAGATGTACTTTTCTGCAAATAGAGCTTGAGTACTTAGTAACGTTATAGTTACGTTCCCGCCCCAGTTCGAAAATGGCTAAAGCAACACTGCCGGCGAGCGAAAAGCTGTCTGCCTTGTCGTACTGCCCGCAAGCAAACGCATGAAGATTCAGGAAAAATCCTGAGCTTTTGAAATGGAGAAAAGAGGACATTCCGCAGATGAAGCGATTCAGCTGTTTCAGTGCCCATAGACAGAAGTAAGTGCAAAAGGTTTTCTTTTAGCGCTTGCCAGATAGCCCTGTCTGCATCACAGCGTCTGGTTACGCTTCTCTTCTGTCTTAATAGCACAAATGGTAGGTCTCTTCTCCACAAGAGGGAAAGCACTCAAAGCCATGTTGCTTAATATGGCGCGAATAAGTGAATGGCGACCATCAATCTTTGATCTAAATGTCTTTTGACTTCTGCTACTTCATCCTTTTTCGCAGGCTTCCGTTCATAATATTGTTGGGTTTGCCAAAAATAAGTGTGAATGGATATAAAACCATATGGTTAGGTTCTTCTTCATGCTTTCATAACTGTTTATTTTCAGGCAGTGAACTTCCTCCATGTTCTTTTGGACCAAGCGGTTGTCACAGAACGACCCAAACCAGACGGCGGTGCATTACAGCGACATAAGCGACGTAGATCGGCGACTTCTCACATTGCACTCTAAAATTTCGCTGGATGATAATTACACAGTATGCAACCATCACTTCTGTGTTTACGTGAAGAAATACACGTCCCTGGTTGCTTCTAAATGATGCTACAATCCTTTTCTTGAGCACGTGAAGAACCGTCATGGGTCGTTCGTCATAACACTGAGACTCGCGGATGCCCACCCTACTCTGGGTCTAGTTCCAGAAGAGAAACTGCCAAATGTGCAAACGACAACTGTATACAGTGGAATGTCTGCAAATTCTACTGAAGTTGAAGAACCCGCTCAGGAATCTTGTGTTCACTCCGAACAAAGTGACTCAAGGGTGCCAGTTTCTGCGGAGATCATTGAAGACATTGCAGCTGTTGGTGAGAGCCCAGTAAAGAGAAAGCAAGCGCTATGGAGGCGCAAATCGTACGTGAGGAAGAAAGTATGTAGGCTTCAAGAAAAAGCAGAGAAAATACTTTGTCAGTCTCTTGGCCTTGACCAGCCATCAACCTCCCAGGGAAACACAGAGAAGGAATATGTGCTTTCTGATTCTGTGCAACTAATGAACGATTTAAAATATATGTTCGCGCAAGAAGACACGCGCGAAAGGAAGATCCAGTTGTTGACACTGGCACTTCATTTCTGGTCTCGCGGGAAGGCTGTGGAGCTTTTTTCGGGCATCTGAACGGCAGGTGCGTGAGGCCATCAAAATCAAAGAAGAACACGGGGCATGCCACCAAAGAGGATAGGTCGTTCTTTAAGGGAAGGCGTGAAGACTTCAGTGGTTAATTTTTATGAGGATGACTCAGTGTCTAACTGCCTCCTAGGTAAAAAGGATGTATTACACGGCCGTCAGAAGCGCCTGTTGCTGTTAGACCTAAAAGAACTTTACCAAGAATGGAATAAAGATTCTAATTTAACGTGCGGATTTTCAACGTTTGCCAGTATGCGCCCTTCAAATTGTGTTTTGGCCGGGGCAAGTGGGACGCACACTGTGTGCGCGTGCATGCAGCACCAAAACGTGAAATTGATGTTACACGCTAGTGGCCTCAAAGAGACAATCGAGGAATTATTAGCTACCATAGTGTGTCGAGTTGACAAAGAAGACTGTACGTTTGGCAAGTACGACATGTGCCCCGGGACAAAATCCGTTGCGACCTTGCTTCTAAATGGGCCCGCCCTTGATACCAAGCAAGTGAACCACGTCCAAGTCGAGCTGTGGATAAGTGGCGCGCGCTGCAAACTTGGAACGATTGTCTTATCACCAGAAGATTTTATTGAGACATTTTTGGAGATGTTGAATGAACTTAAGGGGCACCATTTCATAAGCAAATAACAAGCTCGCTACTTGCGAAAAATTAAAAAAATGTACTACAAAATGCTGAGGCCATCGTGCTCATGGATTTTGCGGAAAATTACAATTTCCTGCTCCAAGACGCGCCGCAATCGTACCACTGGGTCAATACGCAGGCTACGCTCCACCCTGTTGTTGTGTATTTCCGTCAGCAAGAAAGAGCTGAAGAAATATCTGTGAGGCTGTTTGCTGTCATTTCCAACTGTCTAGAACATGATACTGTAGCAGTGTATGTGTTTCAGTGTGAGGTCATAAAGCAGCTGAAAAATGACCTGCCGCAATTACAAAAAATATATTACTTCTCCGATATAGCAGCATCCCAATACAAGAGCAAAAAGAACTTTCTGAACCTCCGCTACCACGATAACGCCTTCAGTATTTCAGCTGAATGGAACGTTTTTGCAACCTCCCACGGAAAAAGTCCCTGCGACGGCATTGGGAGAACCCTGAAACGTTCGGCAGCGAAAGCCAGTCTTGAAAGGCTGTACCAAGACCTCATAACCACTTCAGAAAAGCTGTTCACATGGGCATAAAATAACATCAACGGCATAACAATCTTATTTGTGCCAAATGTGATTGTGCAAGAAAAGCTAGCTGACCTAGCTTCAACATTCCAAACAGCACACGCTAGAGTACTGCACGGGCTCGGGCTGGCCCGAAAATCCGGGCCCGGCCCGGCGCGCGGGCCGGGCTCGGGCCGGGTAGCACGTATTTTTTAGGGCCCGGGCCGGGCTCGGGCTTGAAAAAAAAAAATTCTGGGCCGTGCCTGGTCAGTCGTGTGCCGTAAATTTTAAATCGCGTCGGCCCGGGTCGTGTGCCGTAAATTTAAATTCAAAGGTATCCAAGGCTAAAGTCCGTCTGCGCTCAGTTCGAGGAGATAGAAGCTCTACTGAAGTCAAGGAACAATCTATTGATGGAAAGCCTGAACAAGACAACACTCAACGAGTTAATCGTGTTCCTGCAACCCTTCAAAGATGCTACCGACGCGCTCGAAGAGGAAATACGTCCAACACTTCCTCTGGTTGTCCTTTACGCTTCTGCGTTGAAGAAACATCTTAAACCTGGTGCGGCGGTGTCTGCTGTAGAGGCGGAAATCGAGGAGATCAAGTCCATTCTCGTCATTTCCTGGAAACGAAGCTGAAAATTTTCCTCCTCCACAAGACCGCCACATTTCTCTGTCCTCAGTTCCGCCAACTCCGCACGTTGCCCGAGGACGAGCGCCTTGAAGTTTACGCGCACGTCAGAAAGCTACTTGCCCGTGCCACCGAAGCAATGACCCAAGATGAAGATGAGACAAACGATGACGTTCGAGATCCCGCATCAAAAAGAAGGTGCCAGGGTTTCTTTGAAGACTGGTGTGACGCGGAGGAGGACAAGGTAGCCACCGACGAATTGGACGAGTATCTACACGGCAAGAAAGACTACTCGTGCTCAGGAGTGTCTGAGCTTTGTGACTTCTGGAGAGCGCACGAGAAAGAATTCCCGAAACTGTCAATTCTATCCAAACGCATTCTGTGCATCCCTGCTACAAGTGCTAGCAGCGAACGGAACTTTAGCGCGGCGGGCTACATTATGCAAGCAAGGCGGATCTTCCTGAAGAGAGAGTCTATGGACAATTTATTGTTTCTACACAAAAATATGTAGGAAGGAAATTTCTCTTAAACGAATTCAATAGAACAACGAAAAGTGCAATATCTCTTCAATAAATTCATAAATAAAAAATTCCCCACTTTTGTCTCAAGGATTGTCGGTGTGCCATGAGTTCAAAAACTGTCGCAAATGATGCGCATATTTCACCCATACTCTCGACAATACATATTCTTAGTCGACACATTTATGACATAAAAAACTCAGTCCCAGTTTTCCGGCTCGGGCCGGGCTCGGGCTCATATTTGAAAATGTTATCGGGCTCGGGCCGGGCCCGGGCCGTGTCTCTACCGGCGGGGTCGGGCCGGGTCTAGAAATTCCGGCCCGTGCAGTGCTCTAGCACACGCCATAAAAGGCACTCCAAGCTTTTACCACTTCAAGCCAACTTCAATATCAACCCTTTCTGTTTTGTAACATCGTTCTCAACGACTAAGGAAGTTAGAGTATCAAAATAAATCTCGGATCCACATCATTAGGGGAAACACAAATTCTGCAGACTATGGTTAAAAAATGTTCGCACATGACACCGAGAGCTCCCAGCTTTTGTTTCGTAACACTTACCAGCCACAAGCCACTGCCTGAAAAAAAGAAAGTAAGGATAATGAACTATTATTTCTTGCTCCCTGCTTTGTGACAACTTATTAGTGCGCAGACTAAGCTGCATGTCCCATTTAGAGCACCAGAACATGTGCGTGGGCTCAGATAAGGTCCATTGCCCTCGTGCTGTGTGGTGAAGCTGCCGCATGAAACCGCTCCGCGTGGTGTCGTGGGAGCTCAACTTAAAAAAAAAAAATATTTTCTCGCTTAAAAAAATATTACTTTGCTTAAATTTTATAAATCACAAGTTCATATGGCGCTCTATCGCTTGAGTGGTCTGGCATATTTTTACTTCGACCGCCTCATTGCAAAATTTCCAGTTTAATTTAAACCAAAATGCCGTTTTGCGCAACTTTACACATTAATATAATAAAATCCTTTTCTTAACGGTAGGAAGGTATTTTATACAAAACGTGTGTCTACAATAGATGCGGAAAAAACTCCTAGCGCGGGTATACAGACTCCCAAATTTAAACAAAAATCACGAAAAATTCACAATTTCAGTTGGTTGTCTTTAATTAAAAACGAACAAAAAAAAAAGACTATAATATTTAAAATCCGCTTCATGTGAAACAATAATGCAAGTAGAATTGGACAGAAAACATCGCGCGTTGGTAGCTAAAGATCTATACTTTTGCCAATTGTTTTTACTTGTTCCTAGTTTCGCGCCTCTTCGGGAATTTCAAACAGCGCTAGCGCGGCCAAAAATATTTTATGGACGAAAATATTTATGCAAATGACTATTCAACACACAAGAAACCCCTGTAATTTTTATCAAAAGAATCGACAATGGTCGAGCGTCACGCCTGTGACGTTCGGCATGCTCTACCCTTAACTTTGGTAGAGCACGTGACCACCGTTAGGGCCGCTGATCACGTAACTTATTGCCTTCGGCTTTTTGCGTTTGTGCTATCTTCGGTTAGACGAATCACACACATCGAAGGCGCCGTGACGATTATGGTGTCATGATGCACGTCCTGTGATTGCTGTCCTCCAGGGAAAAAAAGCATTGTTGGTGTACGTGACTTTAAATAAAAATGTCCTTTCGAGAGCTTAGTTTTTTTTTTTTTTCTTTTGTTTTGGTGTTAAACTGAATTAATTTTCTGAACTGACGACAATGTACCTTGGGCCATTCTTGACACTACGTTATAGTCGAATATAAAGGTGCGATGGAAATATAATAGGTTGTTTTCTGTCATCTGCCCTTCGTACTCGCACTCTAATTCTTTGATTTTATAATACTGCGATGCTACAAACTGTACAATGACTAATCGTATCTTTATATGTGCCTGGCTGCCTCAACATTCTCGAACTTTGTTGTAGACTAGACTCTCCTAAATAAGTAACGTGTCTTTTGTAGCGAGCGGGACACCCCACCTGTCGAAAGGACAAACCTGAGGCTCATGACTCGTGAAAAAATCAAGAATCTCACTTCAACGCCGTAAGTTTTTGCATCTCTACTCGGTTTCAGCAGTCTTGAGTTATACATCCGGAAACTGTTACATAAGTCCCGGAACTGGTTTTGGATTCGAGCATAACTACGAACTACATCAAGTTCGCCAATCCTTCGAGTAATACTTTCTCAATCAGCTGTCAATTCAACCTCTTTTTCTCTTGGAATGCCTTGAGAAAGAAGATGTTTAACAATTTAAAAGTTTAACAGATGATTGCGCCGCTTTCTTATTGGCAATATCCGCCACTGTTTTTGTTTTAGTTTTGATGGATGTGGTATACACTGAAGGCAACCGAGGCAGAAAAATAGTTGTGCTCTTTCTTTTTTTTTAAGGAAGTATTTCTCAGAAAGAAAAGTAATATTCGTGTAAAAATAATTTGCATTCGAAATATATCTTCGTTGCTTCTGAAGTTAGTTTATCTCGGATAAACGATACAAACTAACAACGCAAAACATGATCTGACGCAAAAAATGCATTCTGTGCAGTGTCACTGAGCCTGAAGCAGAAGATGTGAAACGCCATGATCACTAATAAAACGCCGAGTGTATAAATTTATGGGTACAAATTCCTAAACATATTTTCAACATAGTCACCAGTCAATTTACCTGAGTTGGTCGGGGCTAATAATTTTCCTGATTGGCTTCCGTAAAACTAAAGACATGGCGTTTTCTATAGCGTACTCTTGAAACTGCAGCATGACAGAGAATGTTTCAACACAGTTGCGTTGCGTGCGCGTACACTTAAAGGGAAGCTACGGAGCTTCTTGAAAAAAAATGAGTTAGAAGTGAATTCTAGTGTATTTTTACCTCGTGAACCCGAATACCCAAACCATTTGCCGCGCAAGTATTGTTAAACGGGAGAAAAACGCGAAAGACAGTCGCTGTACGTGACGTCATCGACGGATCTTTTGGCTTGCCAAGGCTAGGGGGGCGGGGCTTCAGCCCTATTTTCAAATTGCTCTTATGGCTCTCCGGCGCGTCGCATTGAAATATAATTGTGATATCTGTTATTCTAAAGGACAGGTGAACGCAATTCAAACGTTTTTTCTCAAATGTAGAAGTGCCCCATCTTCCCTTTAAGCCATCGTGTGTAAGTATGGTTGTGTTAGATGCGTAATCATTTAATTCATTATCATTTCATGGCACCCTTCAACGAACTATGCAAGGATACTGGATTCGTATTTTTTAATTGCCTGTTGAGTAATAGGACACAGTAGGATATGCTTCTGAGTGTAAGGAGCCAGAAACGTAAGTTGGCGGTTGTTCTTTAGAGAAAATAAAGATTAACCATTGATAGTGCGATTCCCTGACAATATTAATGCCTCATTATAATCCACCTGGGTTCAAACATTTTTGGGGCTTGTCATTGTCGATATCGGTTAGTGGGTTGGACACTATCATCAGCGTCACCGCTTAAACTGTAATCGGTGGCAATCTGTCCGTCCGTCGGCGAATATTTGGGTTTGTACTCGTCGCCAATTAGTGCGGTGATATAAATCGCCAAATTATAACAATATGAACCATGTTGGATTAGCCTGAAACTAGGGTAGCGAAGAAACATCAGAAAGGAATAACTGGGGAAACTGAAACGTTTAATGGGGCGAACTTGTGCCCAAAAATAAAAAGGAAACAGAAGGTAACAGAAGAGCGTCGCGGGCGTCAAGGTCGGCGTGACAGCAGAGTCGAGCGCTGGGGCGAAAAACTGACTGCAGATCGCCAGCGGAGCCTCTTATGTACGCGCGTTGGCTTCTCTGGAACAATCAGCCTAGAATGGTCGGCGCCTGGAACATTCGAAACTCAATCAGACGAGAATTGTCTCGAACTTACTAGAAGGCCAAGTTAAAAAAATACAAAAAAGGACAGTCCGCTAACTAAAATCGAATCTACATCTTCCGAGCGACAGACAAGCGCGGTAACCACTGGGCCACGCACACGCTTGCTGGTCAACGCGCGGCAATATAGCTTAAATCTCAAGATCATCTCCATCAACACGAAAGGACGAACTCTATACAGTTCAAGCGCCACAGTCTCCATCGCACAACGAGGGCATGTGGACAACCTTACAGTTCGACGCGATAATGCAACATGCATCCAACTTTAAACTTGAGAAAGGGAACTCTTCCACTTCTATTCTAAACACAGTTCCCACTTCTGTCTCTTCTACGTTTTTATGTTTCTTCTCCACTTCAATCTCAGGTTAATCAAACATGGCTAATATTCAGCAGCTCGCCTGCACCCTTACGACATCACATAGTGTGTTCAATTTCACTAAATTACGAGCAAAGCCGATGCTACAAGCGCGAACACGCTCTCTTGATTCACGGGCGCATGTGCATGGCAGACCAGAATTCGAAGAGTTGCGCACGCTCTTGTTGTTTTTCCTCCGCTCGCAACTATGCCTTGGCGACAGGTGTTGGGAAAGGGACACATAACAGCTTACCCTAGCCAAGGGTTCAGTAACATTACGCTGCTCAATGCTTCAAGCAATTTCTGTAAGAGCGCGTGAATCTAAAAATTAATGCTCGTAGAATACGCTATGAGCTATCCTCTGAGCAATATTATGAGCAAAAGTATTCCAACCTCTTATATATATATATATATATATATATATATATATATATATATAGGGTGTTTTTATTTTATTCTTACACATTTGTTTAAAGAAAACCGTGAAAGCTACACTAATGCGGTTTGTGCAGGTGGGTTATACGGTCAGGCGGACATTATGTGGGTGGCTAATCTTTGCGATAAGTCGGCTAATTAATTAATATTTGTTAATTAACTTGTTAATTAGTGAATATAAACATATGGTTTCAATTAGAAACTTCTAGAGCATCATCGAAAACCACTAAATCAACTATTTTTGGAAGGATATAACGCCGGGGAAGCATTTCACGGCGTTCTGTAAAAGCGTTCCATTTGGACGCGTTTCTAGAATTCGGTTTCTTATCAGAGCGCATCACCGCGCCTGCGGTCCTGCTCCCCAGTGGCTGAGACGCGCAACACACGTGCTCCGTATTCCCCTCCATTCTACGAGGGAGGCGAGGAGACGGCTTCGCGCCGCGACCGCCGGGGAGCAGGATCGCGGGCGCGTAGATGCGCTCCGATAAGAAACCGAAATCTAGAAACGCGTCCAAATGGAGCGTCTTTACAGAACGCCGTAAAATGCTGCCCCGGCATTATATCTTGCTAAGAATAGTTGATTTAGGGGTGTTCGATGATGCTGAGCAAGTTTCTAACTGAAACCATATGTTTATTTTCAGTAATTAAAAAGTTAATTAACGAATGTTAATTAATAAGCCGACTTATCGCAAAGATTAGCCACCCACATAGTGTACGCCTGGCCGTATAACCCACCTGCACAAACCGCATTAAGCACGAAACACATGTACGACGAAAACCTTCCGATCCGACGTGCGGACTGCCGGAATGACCTTGGGGGAGAGGGTTTTTGTAGCATCGGAGAGCGTTGAAAACCCTCGCCTCCGACCGTCGTATTGCGCGGTCGGACGTCGGATCGGACGGTTTCGTCGTACATGTGTTTCGCGCTTTAGTGTAGCTTTCACGGTTGTTTTTAAACAAATGTGTAGGAATAAAAAAAACACCCTGTATAAAAAAAAAGTATTGAAAATAGCTGCACAGGAGGGTGACAGCATCTCTATTTTTCCTTTTTTTTCTTATTTCCGTACGTGAGAACGGGCATCTATCGCCTTTATCCTGCGAATAAATTCACCTACGAATTAATCTTTCTGCCGTGTTATCGTTTTCTTATTGTTTCTCAATTTCCCACTGTTTAGGCGTGACAGCTTGGCGCGACCAACTGCGCGACATATTGCGCGAAAAAAGTCAACATAAAAAAAAAAGAATCACCCATCGCTTGTGTCAATGCAGTTTTTTTTTTTCAATGAGTAATGCGGATTAGCAACCACACTCGTTGCCAAATCAAGAGAAAAGCAAGTTATTCGCATTGTTAGTTCCGTGCACGATAGTTCTTTTCCGACTTGGTTGTCGGCGAGAGAAACGATGCTTTTAGCCTTTAAAAAGTGTTGTTTAAACAGAATAAAAAATAACTGATCTTAAATGTTCATACACATCTCTGAATTCGCCACATCAAGGAGGAAATTAGGAATACTCAGTGAGGAGCCGGTCTTATTTTACTGCATTTCTTGAGGTGAATACGAGTATAAGTGAAGTCTAAAATAAATTTTGCACAAAAATCATCCAAAACCTTGTGTGCAAAAAAAAAAAAAAAAATCTTTGCACTTGCGTTGTTGTAAAAGGAGGAATTCATTGACGTAACCTGCCAATTCTTTATACTTCATGTGTGGCGCCCGCAGTACAGTAACATTAATGTTTATTTTCTCATCCAGCGGCGTCAGCTGCGTCTTCTCCTCTCTCATGATTCTCTTAACCGTGGTATATTTGCGCTTTCTGATCATGGACGGGGGCGTCAGGTAGGCTAACTGTTTTCACCGTAAACCTACTCAACGCTTTCGCCATATCGGTTTTCAGTCGGAGGCATAAAACGTCCACTTGATACATTCGTATCGTACCTGCTACTAATTGGAAACGAAATTTAGATGTTCCAATGAATACTTTGCTTTTATTACGGGAGTGTTATTTATGTAATAAAAGATTGAAATGATTGTCATCCCACTAATGTGAAAGATGAATATTTATGCGCTGGGAGGAAGACTGTCAGCATATTTGTTCGAGTTCTCGTTCGCGCTTGCAGGTGTGGGTTGTAAGGGAGTTTCGCACTGTAGGAATTCGGTGGACGATTGATCCAGTCGCTAGTTTGGTTCAAGTGGTGTGGGAACCACAGACATTACTCCCCTGCACTCCATGCTTCATCTCTCATGCTTGATTGAGTCGCGTCGTGGTTTGATGCGAACTGGAAATTATCTTTATGTATTTATGAGTAAATATAGGGGGGGGGGGGGGGCGGGGGGGGGGGGGGGGGGGGCTCGGAGTGCTAAGAGAAGCACCAGCTCCAGAACTTTTAGTCCCTCCGTCATGGCTTGGAGCAGACGCGCTCGATAGACGGCACAGTCTGGCGGAAACAGTTCCCGCTTACGTCATGATCATGACTTGCGTTAGCAAAATTATTTAAACCAGTAATATGCCAAAATACCTGCACAAAGGGTTAAAATTTTCCGAATGATGGTTTGTATTCCTCATTTAGGAAGACATCAGTTCTGAGCGCCCTCACCGTGGGAATCCTGGTGTCCACAGCAGTAAGCTACTTATCCGGAGGTACCATCCTTGTTATGAAGGAGCTGTGGTGCAGAGTCCCCTGGGGAATCCTCTTCGTCTTTGGAGCGGTACAAGTTATTTCCAAAGTTTTTGAGGTAAACGACAGAGGTGATTGTTAAACCTAAAAGAATGTAAATCATATTGCCGCGCGCAAGGCTGAGAAAGAAACGCTCGGTCACGGTCCTCCAGAAAGTTCCCGTTTATTCATGTACCGCACGTAACTTCTATCATTTATCCCTGCTTTTGTTTTCTAGAAAGTACGTGTTCATTCTCGCCCCGATCACGCGACGCTCGAGCCGCTTTCGCCGAATCTTCGAGATAGCGGCGCACTCTAGATAAGAGGCCGCCCGCGACCTTGTCGAGTCAGTTTCGCCCCAGCGTTCGACTGTGCTGCTCCGCCGACTTCGACGCCCGCGACGCTCTGTTATTATCGTTGTACCCCTTTTATTTTTTGGCACAAGTTCGCCACATTAAACGTTTATTTCTTTCTGTTCAGTTATTGTTCTTTTTGGTCACCCCCCGTGACATTTTGGTGGAGGTGCTGGGTAGCGCATGCCCGTGCAGCGTTCCCCTCCCAGGGCCCGCAGTGCAAGCCCGATTCCGAGCCCGGTGAGAAGACCACCCGACGCGGAACCTGAAACTCGGACCAGTCGCCGCACCCAAGGTCTACGCCCGGAATACGGACTTCTGCCACCCAGGACCAAGCAGCCAACGAAGCCGGCGATGGACGGCCAGCAGTCACAGACCCCGGCCGCTCCTGCCTTCATCTACCTGCCAGTCGCACCCCGGACTCCGACGCCATTCCACGGGGACGCCCACGAAGACGTCGAGGACTGGCTTCAACAGTACGAGCGGGTCGCCCAGCACAACCGATGGACGGAGGACCAGCGCCTGCAGAACCTTTACTTCGCGCTCGAAGGAACGGCCAGGCACTGGTTCGAGAATCGGGAGACATCATTGATCTCGTGGACCGCCTGCAAGAATGAGTTGAGGCGAACTTTCACTAACCAGTATCGACGGGAGAGGGCCGAGGACCTTCTTCGAATGAGAACCCAGGGCGCAAACGAGACCATCACCAGTTTCATCGAGGATGTCCTGCGCCTAGTCACTCGCGCCGACCCTGAAGCCACCGACGAAAAGAAGTTGCGGATCCTGATGCGAGGCGTACGAGATGACATCTTCGGAGGCCTCGTCCGCAACCCGCCGACCACCGTCGAGACGTTTGTAACGGAGGCGACCAACATTGAACGGGCCCTGCAAGCACGAGCCGCTCACTTCCATCGAGCCCCTGCCGTCGCTGCACCCACGCCGTCAAGCTGCGCCCTGAGCCCCAATATTCCGGGGATCCGAGAAATAGTCCGGGACATCGTCCGTGAAGAACTGAAGAAGCTGATACCTGCCGCCGAACGTCCAGCTTCACTCTCGATCGCCGAGATTGTTCGAGAAGAGGTCCAGCAAGCACTCCAGCCAGACGTTCTCGCCGACGCCGCACCGGAACCACCAGCTGTGACCTATGCTGCCGTTGTTCGTCGTCCGCAGCCTCCTATTGCTCGGCAGTACCCATCTGCACTCCAACGAGAAGTCTCTTCGCCGCAGTACGCGCCGCGCCAAGAGCAGCGTGGACTTCGAAAGACCGACGTGTGGCGCACAGATGACGGACGCCCGGTGTGCTTCCACTGCGGGGAGGCTGACCACGTTTACCGGAGGTGCCCCTACCGCCAGCTTGGCCTGCGAGGATTCGCTCCAAACGACCGTCGACCTCGTTTTGGAGAACGACCAAGGGACATCGAGGAATACCTCCGTCGCCCTCCGTCACCAGCGCCCACCGCACCACGAGGTTCCCGCTCTCCATCCCCCCGACGTTCCGCGTCGCCTTCCCGTCGGTCGCGCCGTGACAGCCTGTCCCCCCTATCTCGTCGGGAAAACTAAGTGCGGCAACGCCTGGAGGTGCCGTTGCCGAAGCCGACCCGAGTAAAGAGCCTCCAAGAACGCCGGAGCGCTCCCACTCTCCCGACGCCACGCATCGCTACGACGCGCCAGCAACGGTGTCCAACAACCTAAACATCGTCATCGACGGCCACGACGCATCGGCACTCGTGGACACCGGAGCAGACTACTCAGTCTTGAGTGGGAGGCTCTCCCGCCGCCTTCGAAAAGTCATGACGCCGTGGGAAGGACCCCAAATACGAACCGCCGGAGGACATCTCATCACACCAGTCGGGAGATGCACTGCTCGCGTCGAGATCCACGGTGAAACGTGCCCTGTCAAGTTCGTCGTTCTGCAAGACTGTTCGAGGGACGTTATCCTCGGAATGGACTTTCTCTGCGAGTATGGCGCCGTCATCGACCTCGGAACAAACCGGCTGATGCTACGAAAACCTGCTCCACCAGCGGAGGAACCCCAAGCGACGTCACCCACGGTCCGAGTCCTCGCAAATCACGTAAACCTACCACCGCGGTCGAGTGTTTTCGTACTTGTCGGGATCGATGAAGCTTCCTGTGGCGAAGTTCTTCTCGAGGGAAGCCTCCAATTGCTCCTGGGAAGAGGCATAGGCGTCGCAAGGGGAGTAGCTGAACTTCAGGATGGGCGGACTGTGGCCCTCGTGACGAACTTCCGAAATGAAACGCAACACCTCACGAAAGGTGCAGCCGTGGGCCACGTCGAGAAACTCCGAAACCCCGCCGAAATCACCGCGATTACTGACGAATCCTCGCCGCCCCAGCAAGAAAGTACGTCGCCAGCGCAGCTCGACATTGACCCTAAGCTTCCGGAACCTAAACGGCGTCAGCTGGTTAACCTCCTCGCCGAATACCGCGACTGCTTTGCGACGTCGTCGAAGGTGCGCCAGACCGCGGTTGCCAAGCACCGCATCGTTACCGAGGACGACGCGCGCCCTGTGCATCGATCGCCGTATAGAGTCTCCGCTAAGGAAAGGGAGGTGATCCATCAGCAAGTTCAAGAGATGCTGAGTGACGACATAATTCAACCTTCAAGCAGTCCATGGGCCTCTCCAGTCGTGCTGGTTAAGAAAAAGGACGGAACTCTTCGGTTCTGCGTGGACTACCGGCAGCTCAACACGGTTACGAAGAAAGACGTCTACCCACTCCCCCGCATCGACGACACTCTAGACCGGCTGCGCCACTCTCGATACTTTTCATCGATGGACCTGAAGAGCGGCTACTGGCAAATTGAGGTCGACGAACGGGACCGAGAGAAGACAGCCTTCGTCACGCCGGATGGACTGTACGAGTTCAAGGTGATGCCCTTCGGACTATGCACGGCGCCAGCAACTTTCCAGCGTGTCATGGACACCGTACTGGCAGGGCTGAAGTGGCAGAGTTGTCTCGTCTACCTTGACGACGTCGTAGTATTTTCAGCTGACTTCGACGAGCACTTGAGACGACTCCGAGCTGTTCTTCAAGCCATTCAGACCGCCGGACTCACACTCAAGTCGTCAAAGTGCCGGTTCGCCTATGACGAACTGAAGTTCCTTGGCCACGTGGTTAGTAACGAAGGCGTCCGCCCAGACCCCGAGAAGACTCGCGCCGTCGCGGCATTTCCAGCGCCGACAGATAAGAAGGCCGTGCGAAGATTCCTTGGACTTTGTGCCTATTATCGACGCTTTGTTCGGGATTTCGCAAGGATTTCCGCACCACTTACGAATCTCACGAAGGACGCCGAGAAGTTCGAATGGGCCGAGGAGCAACAGCAGGCATTCGACGAACTGAAACGACGACTCCAGACTCCTCCTGTGCTTGGACATTTCGATCAGGATGCGGAAACAGAAATTCACACGGACGCAAGTAACGCGGGACTGGGCGCAGTACTAGTCCAAGTGCAAGAAGGCATCGAGCGAGTCATCGCCTACGCAAGTCGGACATTGTCCAAGGCGGAGAAAAATTACTCCACGACTGAGAAAGAATGCCTTGCGGTCGTCTGGGCAATAACGAAGTTTCGTCCGTACTTGTACGGGAGCCCGTTCCGTGTAGTCACGGACCACCACTCGCTCTGCTGGCTTGCGAACCTGAAGGACCCGTCAGGACGCCTCGCTCGATGGAGTCTTCGACTACAAGAGTTCAACATGACAGTGGTCTATAAGTCAGGCCGCAAGCACAGCGACGCCGACTGCCTGTCCAGAGCCCCCGTCGAAACCCCTTCCGGCTGCAGCGACGACAATGACGACGAGTGCTTCCTAGGAGCAGTGAACACCGACGATATGGCACGACGTCAACGGGACGATCCTGAGCTGCGCGCATTAATCGAGCACCTGGAAGGGGGCAGGAGTACCGTGCCACGTGTCTTCTCACGAGTACTGCCGACCTTCGCCATCCGACAAGGTGTACTCTACAAAGAGAACTTCGGCGACAACAACACACCGTGGTTGCTGGTAATCCCGAGTTCCCTTCGAGAGGAGATCTTCCAAGCCTGCCACGACGATCCGACATCCGGACACCTTGGTTACAGTCGGACACTGGCCCGTATTCGTGAAAAGTATTACTGGCCGAAGCTCCCCAAGACCGTCCACCTATACACACGATCATGCCACGAGTGCCAGCGACGCAAGAAACCGCCGACGAGACCGGCCGGACTTCTGCAGCCCATTTCTCCTCCAACTACACCCTTCCAGCAGATCGGAATGGATCTACTTGGTCCTTTTCCGCCTTCGACGTCGGGGAACCGCTGGATCATCGTCGCCACAGATTATCTCACGCGGTACGCCGAAACGAAAGCTCTTCCTTCAGGGACTGCTGTGGAAGTCGCCAAGTTTTTCATCGAGTCCATCGTCCTCCGGCACGGCGCTCCCGAAGTTCTGATTACAGATCGCGGATCTTCGTTCATGGCCCAGCTGACGCAAGAGATCCTTCGTCTCAGCCACACCAGCCATCGTCGCACCACGGCGTACCACCCGCAGACCAACGGGCTGACGGAGAGACTCAACAAAACCATCGCCGACATGATCTCCATGTACGTCGACGTGGAGCACAAGACATGGGACGAGGTGTTGCCGTACGTCACATTTGCCTACAACACGGCCGTACAAGAGACCACCGGAGTGACACCCTTTCAACTGGTGCATGGGCGCAAAGTAACGACCATGCTAGACGCGATGCTGCCCCATGAGCCAGCTGACAGTGAGAGCGACGACGCCCAGGTGGTTGCTCAACGGGCCGAAGAAGTCCGCCAGCTGGCCCGACTCAGGATTCAAGACCAGCAACGCGCCGACGCGGGCCGCTACAACCTTCGTCGCAGGGACGTTCACTTCCAGCCCGGAGACAGGGTGTGGGTTTGGACGCCCATCCGTCGCCGCGGCCTCAGTGAGAAACTGCTGAAACGGTACTTTGGACCATACAAGGTACTTCGTCGCCTCGGCGAGCTGAACTACGAGGTGATGCCCGACGGAACACGAACATCGTCACGCCGCCCACCACGACCTGAGGTCGTCCACGTCGTGCGCCTGAAGCCGTACTACGCTCGATAGGACTGTGGACCTTTTGTGCTCCAAAAGACTCTTTAGTTTATCGTTCTTTTTTATTTTGATTTGTTTTACACTGCATCGGGGCGATGCACTTTTAAAGGGGGGAGTAATGCCGCGCGCAAGGCTGAGAAAGAAACGCTCGGTCACGGTCCTCCAGAAAGTTCCCGTTTATTCATGTACCGCACGTAACTTCTATCATTTATCCCTGCTTTTGTTTTCTAGAAAGTACGTGTTCATTCTCGCCCCGATCACGCGACGCTCGAGCCGCTTTCGCCGAATCTTCGAGATAGCGGCGCACTCTAGATAAGAGGCCGCCCGCGACCTTGTCGAGTCAGTTTCGCCCCAGCGTTCGACTGTGCTGCTCCGCCGACTTCGACGCCCGCGACGCTCTGTTATTATCGTTGTACCCCTTTTATTTTTTGGCACAAGTTCGCCACATTAAACGTTTATTTCTTTCTGTTCAGTTATTGTTCTTTTTGGTCACCCCCCGTGACAATATTTTCACCCCAGAAAGGTCATTCGCACGATACATTCAATTTTGCCACTTTTGTAGTTAATAAATTCCAATCATCTTTGCTGCTAACACTGCAACGCCAAGTTGAGAGTCGTGCGGCATACGTATTATTAAGCAAAAAGACAAAGATATAACTGAACTTCGTTTCAAATTAAACAAGAACGTTTATTCGGCATTGGTAAAAGACTAACCGCACGGATGTGTAATGGCAAAACTACGATTCTATCATTTAGCCAAACACCTGACATCATATCGTAATGGCCGCTAAATACTTTTAATAGCTAAGATATTGCGATTATTGGGTGATGCCATATCAGTGAGTTTATTATTGAGATGAAATTTTGCCATTTCTAAGCTTATGTTTGCATGCGCAAGCAGAGGGCAAAGCGATAAGGTAGTGCACTCGGTAGCAATACCATATGAAAAATTATTCCCTTCTGAATTATTTGCTTCGTCCTGACTTTTTGGTAATGAACATAAAAAGCGAATTGGACAAGAATCCTTAAATTACAAAGACTACCACACTGCTTACTGCGTACTACTAAACAAAATACTAATACTAGAAAGGATCAATTGTGTGCAAAATAAGCATAATATTTGTATAATTTTAGGCTTATATAGAATATTTTGGCCAGAGTTTTAAAGATTTGGCGACATATCCAACAGTAAACACACTTGAAGTTTTTTTTAAGTATAAAAAGCATACATATTGCTTAAAAACAGAAGTCTATAAACTTATTTTAGTACCTAAATTAATTTACATATTTTAGTTTCGACTCAAGCCGAAGCGCTTGACAGCATCATTGTACTCAGCGCACATATATAATTACATAGTCGCTCATACGATTTAGCTTAAACCAGGTTCTAGAAAGCAATAGTTACTGTCTATTATACCTTATTGTTTATCAGCTCTGCCACTCAGTACCCTAATTTCGGAAGGAGAATATTCTCTATATTGTCGACTACAGCTACTTCTCGAAAATTAGTATTACGCTTTTTTTTTTTTATTTTGTTTTATTTCTCGCCTTAGGTGCACGACATCCTAAGTGAAATCTTCAAGCTCGTCGATGATGACGTTTGGAAAACGACCTCTCCGATTCCAATCCAGGCTCTCCTTGCAATTGTAACATCAGTATTGGCAGAGGCAATCGACGAAAGAATTCTTAATCAACTCATGGTGCCCGTCGTTCGTAAAATTGCAAGTATTTCTTGAACCTTAATTGAAAAAAGAAATCGTGGATACTAGGTTTTTCCCATCAGGTTTTTGAGCACTTCCAAAACTATTAGCCTTGATCACTTCCCTGCGTTTTTTTTTTTCTAGAAAAACCGAACAATCTGGTGATGTTGTGTTTGCAGTAGCAATGTCGCGCTAGCTAAGTTTAGTCAAATAAACATATGAGTCATTGCTATTTGTCACGATATATTTTTTACCTTCAGTCGCCAACAAACTGAGCGATATAGTCTTGCTGTGCACTAACCACGCTTGTTGCTCTTATGAAATGATGCGAATTACCTTTTTCTTTCGCATCTTCTTGCCGTTTTTACTATGTTCTTCTTACGTCATCGAGACTGTGCAAAGTTACGTTAAAAAAATATTGCGTTACGTTTTGTCCCATGATCGGCCAAAGAGTCGCGACTTGTCCTGAAAATTATAGTTGACCGGAGGCCAAATATCTGCAAAGACGACGAAAAATAAGTATTAACTATTATGTTTAATTTTTTGCAGACAAAAAAAAAAACAAAAAAAAAAAACGAAACTCTTCAGGCGTAGTGTTACTATTCTTCAAACATTCTTGAGTATCTGATGCATACTCTTAAACTACTTTCAATGCACTCCATGTTTTAACAGTGCGCGGCGCGCTTCTCCCTACCCTGTCAATGTACACACATTTTAAGTATATGTAATATATCCTTTTGAAAATTCAATCAAGCAAAATTGGCGGTCGCCATTGCTTGGTCACGAATCGCGTGGTGGGATCCGAGTCCTCGCTGGAAGCTGACGCGGCCCTTCCTGTTCAAGAGATATTCAGAGCATGTGATCAAGCTGTGGCAGGCAAGCGTTGGTGTGAACATTTGAAAGGGGTCTATTAATCTATCACAGCCACTAACAGCTCAAAAACTGCAGGGTAGGCCTCATTGTGTTCACGTTTCCCGCTGCGTGATTCCTTCTTTGAGAAATTCATACGCTAATGCCGTAATCTCGTTGGTAGCGTAATGATACAATGAGATTCTCAAGAGACTCGTCGCTGACAGTGACTAAACTAAACTTCATACTTTCTGAAGCTTTACATATAAAATGTCAAAATTAGGATCTTTTAAGGATATGACTTTTTGCTGAGAGTTTCTTGAGGGTTGCTGGCCAGAAAAGAGAGAAAGAAAAGGAAGGTTAAGATTGAAACACACTGGCGACCGACGACTGCCTCCGGTCTCGTCAGGAAGAACGATCACTGAAACAAGGCTTCCTCTCTCGCTCCGTCTTCAGGCGACGATCAAGAACGACAATCCGATCTACTATGCCATTCCGGTTGCTGTTGCGGCGTCCAGCAACGTTGTCATGCCTACCACCATTCCAATGGTCATCGTGCACGAGCTAGCAAGAATTCAGCCCTACAGCCTCGTAAGCTGAGCGAGTTTTGTACATAATCATCGTGGCGTATGGATTTATATGAAGCGAGTTCACGCTACGTGGAATTTTGTATACAACAGTAAAGTCGCATGTACGTCGTTTTTTTTCCTATAAAAAACAAAGTTTTTTTTTCTTGTAATACATTTTGAGTAGTATAAGAAAGCACAAAAAAGACAGGGAAACGTGGAAGAAAAACACAAACAGAGCACAGTGTTTCTTTGCGTCTTTTAATTGTCCTTGTGTCTTTTTTGTTGCTGTTTTATTTATTCTCATCATGCACAGATTCGCCCGACTACACGCCTTGCTATTTTTTAAAATATTCATTAAACAATCCGTCACGCTTTCACGAGAGATATTTATTAGACAATTCGATATAATTTAAATAACAGGTTAGTTTTGCATATGAACTTCACTCAAACAAAAATAAAACCTACCTAACAGTAGAATGAAAATTATTTTCTGCTACTTATCATGGGCGTTTAAAAAAGTGAAGTATTTTGAATCGCTGCGTAAATTTCCAAAAAGCAAAAAAAGAAATTTCTACATATTGCATTGCATGTCTGGAGCACGATTATTGATGTAAAAGAAATACACTGTTTACGCTGGAGGTCATGAGTGGTAGTCCCTGTTGATTTTAAGGTTTTATCTTTATCCTTTTGAACAGCTTGCATTCCCATCTTTCTAATCATCTCAAAACGCATTAAACAAATTATTAAATTAAATACCGTAAAGTAAGTAACAATCCTGAAATGTGTCGTCTTCGTCTGATCCTTATCATCTACCTTGTAATGGAGCTTACTAAAAATAAAACTAATTACTTAGAAATGTCTAGCAGTGACGATTGCTTCATTTTGAGATCAACTGTTCTAACTACTGTCTTAATATTGTCTGCTTAGCGGGAGTATCTACATATAAAACACTCAGACGTCCTTATTTAATCTTAGCCGTCAATAGGGAAACGCTAAGAAAGAAAAACACGCAACGCTAATTTTATGTCAGGATTACCAAAAGAAACAATTCACCGAGAGCTCTTGTATTCTTAAGACAGCTTCTGTACAAAATACTCGTCCAGTACAAAAGCTGGTATGCAGCTATTTTATTTGGGACACATCCGCCAATCTATTAACTGCTGCACATGAAGCCATTCAAAATGGATCTGTTCGTTACTTCCTTACTAATTATCACCGCACCGTCTACGTAATATAAAAATGAAAAGTCAACTTTGGACATGCCTGCTCTTGCATTGCGGTGACAGAATTCTTGTTTGAGTTTGTTATATAGTTACTACAGTAAACTACTCTTGGGGGTGACTGAATATTAATATCAACGCCTTGATTATCAAGATATTAAAAAAATACCTGCATGAAAATTTCTTTTGTTTTGATAATTCCCCGAAATACAATTTCATGAAAATCAACGCTTTTCACAGTCTGCGGTATATATACGTGATGTTCCTTCTTAATCGGTAGAGAAGTAAAAACGAGCAGCCTATAAGACAGACCGTTGCGGCAGTGCTATAGGGCTTATGACAAGGTTCGTGTCACCAGTACATTGATCCTCCGAGTGCCATTGTGGCATTAGCTTTCAGCTTTACTCCAGCCCTCACGACGGAATGAATAGGTCTCACTAATTGCTGCTGCTACTTAGAATGCCTCAATTAAAAACAAAAAAAACAAAACAAAAAAAAAACATTTTTCAGTCTTTGGATGCTTTCGTTAGTTTAACATAAACGTATCTGCAGTTTGAGGGCAACGGTCAACCATTATGGCCGGGGCCGGCCATTCCTTCTTCCAAGATCTGCCACAAATCGGAATGGAACATACGTCAGCATTACTAACAATCCCACAGGTCCTGAATATCAGTTGGCGCACGACCAAAAGCGACATAAAAATTATGTCAACTCAAAATTGAGCAGACAAGACTCTGACACGGAAAAATCGGCAACCCCATCTCATGTTGACACTCAAGCTCAAGGACCTAGCCAAGATGATCACTATAATTACCCCCTGAAAATCACAGAGAAGCTGGAAATGGATCCACTAGACAGAGTCATCCTCGTGAGGCCAAATCGAAGACTGAGTGAGCATGGTATAGACACCAGAAATGCGGATGGCACGAAAGTTCTCCTAGCACTCACAATCATCGGAGTAATTTATATTCAAGCTTACGAGCCTCTACCATGCTAACCGGCAGCTGGAATCATTGACAGAGTGCCGGTAGACATTACCGCTGCAAAACTTCAAGTGCTTGTTCCTGTGACAGCACCTGTGATCTCCATTCGTCTAGTAGGCTCATGTGAGACCGTCAAAATCGTCATCGGCACAACCATTTTACCTGAATATGTCACTCTTGGATATACGCGGTACGTAATGCGGCCGTACATTGAAAAGCCTAGCCAATGCTCAGAATGCAACAAATTTGAGCATATTTGAGCCACCTGCACAAACAAGGAGCGATGCGCTCGATGCGACGGTTCTCATGATCAGACCAAGTGCGACGCGAATAACGCACTCCGCTCAAACTGCGGCAAAGCTGATGACTCAGCCTCTCGTCGTGCAGCCTACCAAAGAGAACAGCAAATTTACAAGTACAATAGCGAAGCAAAGGTTGGTTATACAGCAGCAGGAGAGGCTCTGTCTTCAAAGACGCTACAGGCCGAAGCTCATACACTGTTAGCAAAAATAACACGCCCAGACGTGTAAACCGTTGTCCCATAGCGGACACGTCGAAACGGGTTCGTTTTACACGAGGCCATCTGTGTTTTTCGTCTACACATGAGGTGCTGTGTAAACTTAACACGCTACACCGTGTCTGCCTCCCGCAAAACCGTTTCGAGCGTGTTCCTTATGAAACATGGCGGCCAGCGGCCGAGAACAGGCGAGAGACGAGCCCAGTGAGCCGCGCGCCTTTCAGCCGAATTAAAAGCACACAGGGCGCGTTAGTTCTCGTTCGATGTCTTTTATACACAGTAAAGTCTCCAAGCGGCGGACGTAGCTACTTGCAAAGGTACGTACGTGCGTTGTCGGCGGTCGGCGGCGTCGGTAGCTTCAACAAACCGCTAGACAAAAAAAAAAAAAAAAAAAAAAACGAATGCCGAAATTACATGGATAAATAACTTGAGCAAACTATTGAGAATCGGGCGGTAACTGGTGCCACCTATCGAGATTTCTAGCGGCCTGTTTTTGAAAAAAAGACGAGTCTGTTAACACTGAGAACGACCACGACTACACAGCAACCCTACATACAACGCAGGCAACACAGCATACAGCTACACAGCACCGACATGTCCACAAACACAACAACCGACACTGCGCCCGTCACTTCCTACTCGATATCCATTTCTCCCCGCGGCGCATATAAGCTTGACATGTACGGGTGAGCTCTTTGGTCGCTGACCATTACAGATTTACAGAAGAATACACAAAACACGACGCAATGGACAGCCGTGTATTAGAACTGTTTGCATTTAAAAAAGGCAAAATCCATAATGTTAGTCCGTTGCAATAAATAACGATATGTTAACAATAAATCTTAAACCGGTCATGAAAAAGTTCAAATTTTTGTTATTTTCTTGCTTGACCAGTGTTATGAGCAGTCCGACTAGCTTGAATCAGATAGGAAAACAAATTATTGGGATTTTGTCATTACCTATACAATAATAAATGAAAATGATCCTTGCGCGAAGCATTTTTTATATATTTTTGTGAAGGACATCCGGACATCAGCCCAACACTTCACTTCCGCTAGTTGCAGCAGTTGCAGTACGGGAGCAGACGCCTTCACTTTTGGGGCGTTTTGATGCAGTTTGTTGTCGTATGTCGTGTCGGTGTCGAGAAGAGCGGTGGGGCTTGGGAGTTTGTGACCGGTATTATTCGTGAACACTGGTGTGGGGCGCTGATGCGTCTTTTTTTTTTTATACTGCCACCACCCCGAACTTTGAAGATACACGGGCCCGTAGCAGTGCATTATGCTGAATCGCGAGCTCCTTCTCTGTTGACGTCGCTTTCCTGGTACCACTCGTGGATACTGCAAGCGTTTAAACAGTGTGGACCGTCTCGCCTACATCCCCGGTGACGTACTCGACCTGTTGAAACTTATTGCTTCCGTCATTTTAGAGTACGCAAGGCAGTTGTCTCGTTGGTCTGGTTTCGGTTATAAAAGCAAAGCAAAACGATCGTAGTTCCCGCCCTCAGTACACGTTGGACATCTTCCACACTTTGACACCGGATAACTGAATGAACGAGGATTTACATTCACTTCCGACGTTACTCTCGCCGCTTCCTCACCGTTGAGCAGCAGGATGAGCTGGCGACAAGCCGCGGATGAAAGGCTTGAGCATCAACAGCCGAAGCGCACTCGGTGCCGATGCGGGCGACGTGGGTTTCTGTCAACCGGGAGGCCAGCACAAACCGTGACCGTTCCAGCTCTTTGTCATGACACGGTATTGCAGAGAGCAGGGTAAAATACAGCTACACGGATCACCGAAGCAAACGACTGCTATCTTAAATCTTGGCTTGTGATTGCGCCTTTGTAGTAGATCATCTTATTCGTTTTGCTGGAGAGACGCAAACGACGGGCATAACAAAATCGCTTGCATATTCCGCATATCTCACAAAAACATTTACCCTGTCACCTTGCGAAAAGCGCGAAACACGGAGTCCGCACCGCCCTAAGCTTCCCGTTTTTTACCTGCTTTAGAGCAGTTTGTACCTGCTAGTAGATATGCCTACTGAAACTGAAACAGGGCAGTGCCAGAGAGAAAGAGTCAAAGTTGAGAAAGCTTGCTCGCTCTCCAATTTCTCAACTCTCAAGTGATTGTACCATAATAAATGCACCAACGCGTCTTCCAAAATAAAGAAAGAGCACTACGTTCACAACATAAAAAATGGTCTCAGTACATGCATCTGTGGGCAGGTAGGAAACCTTGCCCTAATTTATTCACGCCGCATGATTGGCGCAACAAACTCGTTGCAGGACCGAATCATCTACTC